ATTCGCCGTCTTGAACTGGGATCAATGATTGATTTTGGAAAGCGGCTTTGAGCGCCTCGACGGGTACACTCCTCAGGCAGTCGAGCGTGTCCTCCTCGAGCATACAACCGGTCTGCCTGAGCAAGTTATCGTAGAGGACGTCCTGCTCCTGCACCGACATTCCCCTCGCATCAACCGCCGGCCCACCACTTTGTACAATCGCGGCGCGGAAAAGACCCTCATCTTTCCCTCCATACGCAGCAAGGTGATGTCCAATTGACATCGCACCCGCCGACTCTCCTTGGATCGTAACCTTTTCCGCATCTCCACCAAACGCAGCGATATTATCCTTCACCCACCAAAGCGCCAGGCGCTGGTCGTGCAAACCCAGATTCGCTACTTTAGACTCCAGTATCGCACTGCCGGGCAGGAAACCGAAACCAGATAGCCGATAGTTGATCGTGACGCCGATGATGGGTGCGCCGACTGTGACTGACTCTTGCACAAGGAAAGACATGTTATAACGTTGATCTCCACCACTGCCTTCCTGGAAACCACCGCCATGTATGAAGAGTAGGACGGGGAGTTTAGGGCCTTTGTCGAGACCAGCGGGTCGGACGATATTGAGGGTTAGGCAATCTTCGCTTTCGGGGTAGGATGGTGTGGTCTGTGAGAATACGGGCAGGTTTATGGATGTGGAAATGCATCCTGGTCCGTAATTGTTTGCGTCGAAGTGTCCTAAGCGATGGGCGAGAGGCGCAGGGCGGCGGTAGCGGAGGGGCCCGGTTGGGGGTTGGGCATAGGGGATGCCGAGGAAGAAGTCTTGGTTGTAGTTTGGATTGTGTATTCCAGTGAGGGTTCCGTTGGTCGTTTTGACTGTCGGATAGAGGGTAGAGGCACTTGTGATGTTTGTTAGAAGATGCAGAAGCAATGTTTTGACGTTCATGTTCAGCATGTCTGGGAAGTAGTAGATGGGGAACAGAACGATCTGCTTGTTATGGAAGCACCTACCGAAAGGATTTTTCGAATTACTTATGTACCTACCTAGCTACACATGATGGCATTAAACAAGATTCAAGTTGAGCATCCAAAGACGATTCTCGCGTACTCCCTTGATAGAAGGTAGTCGGCCCGAAGCGAGCTCGGAACGGATGGCCATGACTTCCGGTCGGGCACGTCGAGCGAGAAGTGGATCAGGCTCTTGATAGTAGGCCTTGAAAGCCGTGCTATACGATCTCTACAACCTGGGCACAGTCGACTTGTGGGCGGCCAAGGCTCAACGACCTCGAGACGTCGTTGAATAGCGGAGTCTCTTGGAGCCGCACTGGGCGGTGGGTATCTTGCTTAGGCCATGCTCGAACCTGTTCCAATCATCTATCGTTGGAAATGAAGACAGTCGGCCGAGGCCAAGGTTGCTGGTGATAATCCTTTCCGAAGGCGGGCCGGTCGCTCAAAACGCTGCACTAGACGTCGTCATAGCATAATGTACGTAATTAGATTCGCGCACTGATATCGCGAGATCTGTTGGCGAAGCCTGTAATGCTGACTGTTTGTCGCGTTGAGAAAGTGAAGTATCTGAGGACACGTGATGGTGCGGCTCGCAGTATGCAGGGGTCGGCTCGCTTATCTGGCATCGATCTGAACTCTCCATGTTCCAGGGACCATCTGCGTCATCGATCGGTGCTAAAGGGACGCGACAGCTGAACGCGTCGAGTTAGCACGGCAATGGCTTCATTAAATCCTGTTTCAGGAGGTTATCCTCATCTCGACCATTCTGCGGTTCCACGAAACGCGTATGCTGCTCGCACGTCCAAGGCTCCTGCTATCCGTCAAACCCTTTCTACGCATACAACCATCCTTCCCCGCGAAGAGACTAGCCACGATGCCACCGAAACGTAAAGCAAGCATACCCGCCAATGCGGCATCCGCGAAGAACTACACCGACGTGTCCGGCGACGCTCCCAACAAGCGCTCGCGCATCGCCAAACCTCTCCCAAAAGCCACCTCGAAAGACGCGCCTCCCGTAGACTCGATAGCGAAGAACACCGAGAATGGAGCGCCTGGAGAGGCCGTGAAGAAGGAGGAAGAAGGCTTTGACCATTCGAGACCAGAAGAGAGAGCCGGCATCGTCGATCGACGATACTATCCTGCCGAAATGAGCAATGAACGATGCGCATTGTACAATCAGAATGAGGTACCGCGCCCGATCGAGATTCTGAACAAGACGTTGGAGAGTACAAAGGACAAACGAGAGGCTATCAAAGACGGGAAGAAATCGCAACATGGCGACGCGGTGGTACACTGGTTCAAGAGGGATCTGCGGATAGGAGATAATACTGGCTTGTCTCAAGCAGCACAATTGGCTGAGAAGAAGGGAGTGGGTCTGATAGGCGTTTGGTTCATGAGCCCGCAAGACTGGGAGGCTCACCTGGTCAGCCCGCCAAAATGTCATTTCGAGTTGCGCTCTGTGGAGACACTCAAGAAGGAACTCGAAGAACTCAACATCCCCCTCTACATCGAAACGATTCCCGAACGAAAGAACGTAACAAAGCGGTTGGTGGAGTTGGCAGAAGAATGGAATGCGAAGAACGTCTTCTGCAACTTGGAATACGAACCTGACGAGCTTCGGCGGGAGGAGCGCTTGGTACGCATGATGCTGGAGAAGGGCATCAACTTCGAGCCGCACCACGACGACTGCGTGGTACCACCTGGTAGTCTCAAGACAGGAGGTGGAAAGCAATATGCGATGTACAGCCCTTGGTTCCGATCATGGGTTGCACATCTGCATGAGCATCCACATCTTATGAACGAGCGCCCTGTGCCTGAGCGAAATCCTCCAGCCTTCCGCAAGAAATTCACTCAGCTCTTCGACACGAAAGTCCCCGATCTACCAGAGTGCAAAGCGTTGACGGCAGAAGAGAGGGAACGGTTCCAGCAACTGTGGCCCGCAGGTGAGGCCGCTGCTATGGATCGCCTGGAGCGCTTCTTGGAAGAAAAGGTGGTAAAATACAAGGACACGCGCAACTTTCCCGCGATGAACAGCACCGCACGCGTGAGTGTGCATCACGCTGCTGGCACGCTGGCGGCACGAACCAGTATACGTATGGCTCGAGACGTCAACAGCGCGAAGAGACTCGACGGAGGGAAGGATGGCGTCAAAGGCTGGTTGGGAGAAGTCGCATGGCGGGACTTCTATCGGCATGTGCTTGTACACTGGCCCTACGTTTGGTATGCCCGACCAATACCCTCTATACCACGAATATACTAACACAACCCCAGCATGAACAAGCCCTTCAAATTCGAATACACAAACATCGAGTGGGAGTACAACGACGCGCACTTCCAAGCCTGGACACAAGGCCAGACCGGCTACCCCATCGTCGACGCCGCCATGCGCTGCCTCAACCACACAGGCTACATGCACAACCGCCTGCGCATGATAACCGCCTCCTTCCTCGCCAAACACCTCCTCCTCGACTGGCGCCTCGGCGAACAATACTTCATCACGCACCTCATCGACGGCGACTTCGCGTCCAACAACGGCGGCTGGGGCTTCAGTGCGTCGACAGGTGTAGATCCACAACCGTACTTTAGGATCTTCAACCCGTGGACACAGTCGGAGAGATTCGATGAGCAGGGCGAGTTTATCAAGCTGTGGCTACCGGAGCTGGCAGAGGTCGAGGGGGCGGCTATACATAATCCGTATGCGGCGGGTGGAAAGGCCGCGCAGATTGCGAAGGCCAAGGGCTATCCCGAGCCGGTTGTTGAGCATAAGTTTGCGAGGGAGAGGTGCTTGGCTAGGTATAAGGCTGGCATTGGGAGGAACACTGCGTGAAGAGTTGTTCATGAGATGTTGAGGCATGAATGGCTTTAATTCAGTTGTAGCGTTTGCTTGGGCACCGTTCATTCATCTCTATTCGACATAGTTGTATCTTCCGCAACCTATACGACTTATACGCAAGGAAAGTCGAGTCGGACATTCGGTCGTTGGATCTATTCGACCATGTGTTGAAGTGTGCGGGAACAGGTTGCTCTCAAATGAGGAGTTTCGCAGCACCAAAAACTTCAGAAGACATGTGCATTGCGATCCGTTACTGAGATCAGTCATATCGCCCCTTTTTGTGGTAGGGATCTGCAGTGCGGGGCTAATGCGCGACAGTCGGCCCGAGCAATTCGACCAGATCGCTTTTGTCGCGTTCCCCATCTTCCTTCTCGCAATAACGCAGGAACAGTAAACACGGCTGTTGTCGATTGGAACTGGCGTCATTATTGAATCCCTACATGGTTACTTACGTTACCGCCGCATCAGCATTGATCAGCTTTTCTGCAGGATCTCACGTGAAAGCTTCCTCCGTCCCCCTCAGGAGTTGACCTCGAGGAACCGCGACCAGCTATGGAACAGCCAAAATGTACCAACTTCGTCAAGCCCAAACCAATAGAACCCGCAGAGAGACCCTGGCGGCTCCTTGACAGTGGTCAAACGGTGCCAATGCCCTATGGAGAATTTCACAAAGAGACATTTGGAAAAGTCAAGTCAATAATGGCCGACTATGGCATGCTGAACGCCATCTTGATAAGATCCGAGGGCGTTATACGGAAGAGATGGACAAAGAAGACGCGTACTCAACGTAAAGCTATTCTTGAACGATCATGGCACACGCAAATGCCACACCAGCATCGCCCAGACCTTCGCGACTACTACAGAGTCGAAAGACGAGAGTTCAGCGAGGCTTCCACTTCCACGATCAGAGAAGATGTATACAAATGGCCATATATCAATACAGAGGACCTCGTGACTCCAACACATGTCTTACAGCTTCTGAACTCTCGCGGACGGTATACACCCAACAATTTTGCCGAGATGGATTGGCAAAGCTCAGAGCTCGGTCGCAACATCAATGTTATCAAGGTGCGTCCGATATATTACGACCCAAACGACGAAGGCCAACACAAAGCTATATTGGAAGACGAATCCAACGGCAAGGAACCCGAAGATGGGGAAGTTTCACGTAGTTCGGAAAATGAGACAGTACGCGAATGGCAAGATACATACAAACCCAGCGAATGGGGTTACTATCTGATGATGCATCCTACTGATCTACAAGAATACGGGCTTCCGGTCAAGCTTCCGGTCGCTCTGGAATCTCAAAAACACGTGAGGCGCGCGAGCGAGGCTCTTATCGTCCTACAGATACAGCAGCCTCTGATGGCCTTCCTCGTCAAGATCTGCCTTGAGCTACTTCCCGACGTAGAAGGTGGTCTGGACGGGTTCAAGGCCTTCTTCCAAGCCCCCGAACAACCCGAGCCCCCCGAAATAAGAACGACAAAAGAGGATGGATGGGACTCGGCTTTCGCACTAGCCCAAGACATTCCATATACCGCCCCACAATGGGAAGACTTTCTCAAAATCATGTCCTCTATAGCGGCTAGAATACACGAGTGGAAGGACCATGCCTGGGCTATGCGCGATGATCCATCCTATTTCACTAATGCTGTTAGCGAGTTCTGTAAGTGCGAGGCGCCGTGAGGAGCATCGATTGAAGCACGCTGACCCGATGCATGTAGATGAACACAGCCCTACACATGTATTGGACAGGAAGGGAAGGAAAAGCCCCCATCTTACTGATCCAGCCCTTCAAAAAGACTTTTGGCACATTACGATATACTCGATCATCATGGATTATTACGAGAATCTTGTCATGTGGCATGCTGCACAAGCTGCTCTACACAAGGTTGCTCGGCTGCTGTTGACACGGTTGGAGAAACAAGAAGGGCATGATGCATGGGTAGAGGCTGTCGCGGACTTGAAAGATTTACTTGATATGCGCCTTATCAAAAGCCTAGCTTCACGGTTGCCGAGTTGCTTCATTGGCTCACCACCGGTGCGCGGCATGTTCGTACGTGACCATGCAGTTCCAGAGGAATTACCCCTGCTCAGAGACCCGAGCTCTTTTGGGAAAGACTATTTGTTATGGCTGTGTTCCTTGCTTTGGTCTGAGGAAGGCCTTGGGGTTCCTCAAATTGTAGTCAGGGAAATGGCTCGAGTTATACAACAGGACAAGGACCAGAAGTACAGAATCACACCCTTGGTCGCACAGGTCAGTCATTACCCATGTAAGAAATGCGTATGAGATAGCCACTGACCTCGTACACGTTGATAGCTCGTGTCAGACCTAGCTATTTGTTTTGAACTACGAGCTCGCCTGCGCCTGGTGTGCCCACAAGCTTTCAAACCTGATGAGCAGTACTGTACCGTTGGAGCCGACCGCGACTATCACGAGATAGTCATGGAGGTTTCTGTGAAAGAACTAAACGTGATCTTAGACCCGGAATGCGGTCCAGAATACGATGCCAAACGCCGATATGATTTTCTCCTTCTTGGTGAGCTCGGGCATCCAAAGACAATGCCGTACCCTGTCGGCAAGCGAAGAACCAAAGAGAACGTAGAGATTATGCAGGCTACTGAACGACGGCTCGATGAGCTTTGGAGCAAGTTCGATGCTCACGTGCAGAAGTATTTGAAGAAAATACACCTCGAGGCTCTTGAATCCCTAGCGCCGTCAAGAGGACAAATACAACGGACGCCAGACTGGATAGAACCGGCGAAACCTTCCAACAAAGCGAAGAAAGATGCTGCCCTGCAGGAATACATTACGCCTCTCATACCGGAGCAGCAGCCCGACCCTGTAGACCTCCCAATTCGGAGTGAGAAGCGCAAGACCAGGGGGATTGCGAATGATCCTTCCACTGAGCCTGTCGAAGTCGCAGCAGACTTGCAGCCAGTCGCTTCTGAGGAAACAAACACTCCGCCTACACCGCGCTTCACCGTTGGGAAAAAGACACAGCACACATTCTCGACTATATTCTTCCAGCCGTCTGCAAGCTCGCATCCCGGTGAAGTCCCATGGACTGAATTCCTCTCAGCTATGAACACGATTGGCTTCTCACCCGAGAAGGTGTATGGCTCTGTATGGCGCTTCACACCGAGAGAGGGGGGTGTCATTACGGTAAAGCAGCCAATCAATTTCCACGAGCCGCATCCTGAGGGGAAGTTAAGGTTTGAGGTGGCAAGGAATTACGGGAGGAGATTGACGAGGAACTATGGTATCGATGGTAGCAGCTTCGTTATCGCGTAACTGTGTGTGTGCGGACTGCGTACTACACTTTAGCTCCATGTACTCAATCTGGATCGACAGGAGCATAAGATAGTTCGCATTGAACATTTCAAAATGTACAGATATATTCCCAGCGACGAGCACATAACTCAGCGTGGAGGTCGTCAGTGCGTGAGCAAGCACTGTGTCAACAGTTATGAGAGGCTTGTCAGCCCCTAGCAGACTCAGTCCGCTGCAGAACCAGCGGCGTGGCATTGATCTAGGCTTCCCGCTGTACCGTGATGTTCCGTTCGTGATACTCCTTGATCTTTGTCTCCATGTCACTGTCCCAGGACAGTCCAAGTTTCTCAGCCAGCGTCTTTCGAAATCGAACGTTCTCCTGCCCTGGCTTGTGCAATCCACAGAAATAGATCGTTTCGAGGTACACATCTATCAATGGCTTGTCGTAATCAGGCTCAATGCCGCCGTTCTGACAGTCACAGCTGATACTGAGCATCGCATAGACAAGGTCGCGTGGTTCGGAAGTCTCGAGACCTCTGTGGCATGCCAATCGCAACCATGTTATCAAACGGCTTGAGTCCATAGGCAGCCGTTTTCGTGTGATAAGGGCGTTGGCAGCACTCCTCTGAATCAATGAAGATGTGTCTTTGTCACAAAGACTAGCATCTTGTGTTATTAGACCCAGTATATGATCAAAGTCCGAGAAGCTCACCGAACTCCCCCATGTGGACATGATGAAGATCTTATGACCCAGAAACACCTCCTGCTGAACCCAGACACGGTTCCAGTATGGCTTTTGACATAGCTCAAGAATCGCAGGAGATATGTTGTCTGTCCATACACTGTTGTAGATACTGTGCTCATGGAGCAGATCGTTGATGGCGTGAACAGCGGGTTGATCATAGTGTTCTGTCAAACCAGGCCAGACCATCACAGCAGCGGCTCGGCGATAGATCATACCCATTAGCTCGACTTGATGATTCCTCTCTAGTGTGTCTGATTGGTTGATACTCAACGCGTCAATCCATACCGGAACGGCACGAGAACCCAATAGGTTTGTACGTCTAAGAGTAAGTAAGGCCTCAAAAAGGTTACGCCGCACACGACAAATACGGCCATTGAGGACAATAGATGGGTCGTCCTCAGTGCTTGGACCCCATTCGTACGATAAAGCGTCATAAGGGACCTGGCCTATTCGTATATGTTCGATATCGCAGTAAAAAATCCAACCACCCTCAGACTCTTTATCAAGTCTGATTTGGATCACACGAATTGTGTCGGGCGTTTCCAGGGGCTGGTAATTGTAAGGCTTCGATAATTTTCCGAGACGTTTGAGATTTTTTTGTGACTCCAGGCGGCTCACAGGCCGCACTAGGAATGTCAGCTAGTGTTGTGCGATACTGAGAATATGCATTACCTGCTTGTCGCTCTTCCGAAGTTCCTCTCCTGAGCCGCAGTTTATTACGAAATGTTTTGATCGCGCGCATTTCAACGCCCACTCATGTAATCTGCCTGAATATTGAGGCCAATGTAGCGAAGTATTCTCCTCCACGTTGGTGATGAGGCGGAAAGCACGTATACACTATTGACGTGGTGTAGTGTTGGGAAGAAGTCGGAAGAAGGGCGATTGTCACATCACCGGATGTCGCATATCGGCATCCAATACTTCAGCTCTTTATTCCAACAGCAGGAACGTCAAATTAAGAGTCGGCTTAGGACGGGAGGGTCTCCTTCAGCTGGATGCACGGCCAAGCATCCGTAGGTTGTGGGCTAACCGCATTTGGCTGCGCTACTGCGGCCTGGATCTTCCACCCGCAGGAGCGGCATCCCCTCTGCTGTCCGCCTTCGCGAGTTGACGTCGGAAACATATTCGCTCACAATTTTCGGTCGCGTACACGCATCAATCGACAGTTCCTGGGATGGGTTGACTGTGGCCAATGCGCACAGACTTTGCGTCGGAGCTGAGCGTTAGGCAACCGCGTCCTATGATCGAGCCACCTCGCATCGCAATCTGACGGCCATCACCCAATGCATTCAGGCACCTTTGAGGCTCCAAAACTGTGTCACGCATACGCGATCAAATAGTCGTCATGACGCAAACTGGGAAGTGTGACACGTGTCGGCAGCGCAAGGTCAAGGTAAGACGCCCTTCGAATCCCGCCATGAATCCTTCGCAGAGCATTGCAAGTCGCTGCGGATTGGATTGCATTTTTACTAATGGCTGCCTAGTGCGATGAAGTGCGACCCAAATGTAGCGCATGCAAGAAAAAAGACAGACCATGTAGCTACTCCTACGGCAAAGCCGCAGCATTCGTCGTGCAGGACCCCAGGCAGTTGACGAAACATGGAAGATCTAGGATTAGCCTTGCCATGTATCCATTAAATTCCCCTGACGAAGATTCAAGCTTGTCTTCAACAACATCGTTCTCAGCCGGCTCGTCCTCGACAAATTCCTCAGACCTGTGTATCACTACCGAAAGACACACCGAAGATCGCCAAGGTTGCTTTCAAACCCTGGCACCGCGTTCAAGATCTAGAATGCAGCCGTCGAAGATGAGAGAATACCGGCAAAATCTTGCGCTTCAAGTACATCTCCAGAAACTACGAGAAGAAAGCCCTCTCGTACCATATCAGCCATCCTCGCCCGAGACGACCCTGATCTCCCGATACGTTGGCGTGCTCGGACCAGAGCCCGCCGGTAGGCAGCCTTTTGAGGTCTTAGGGACCTGGATACAGTCTATTCCCTCGCGCATCGGGTCGAACAAGATGCTTGATTTGGCCGTTCAGTTCTTCGTCGATAGTCACGCTACGTATCGAGATGATATGCACTCGAAGCGCAAGGTCGCGAGAGCTTCAAAGGCTAAAGCGCTCAAGGAATTGCAGCTCGCCGTGATGAACACTGATAACAAGGTCACGTACGACATCCTGTTGGCTACGAAATTACACTACGCTGCTGAGGTTAGTCAGCCTGTCAGACGTCGACGTGTTTTGCTGATCACATGCAGGCTCTTCTGGGGCTCGATACTATGTATTACGCGATTCATGCGTTCGGAATCGCCGAGCTGCTGAGGTCAGGTGCGGTGGCGGAAGTTGATGACGATCATTTCTGGAATTTGATCGACAATACCTATGTCGACGATGTGAGTACTGGTCGGTCTTGGGAGTTCGCTGCTGATGTCGAAAGGTTCACGAGGCGATGATGATGGGTCGGAAGTCAGTATACCACAACGACTATTACCTGTCGGCTACAATTCCACCTCCGATCAATGCAAGAGATGTCGTACTGTCGCCATCACAGAGAGCGTCGATGGCTGTCATGCACGTCTTTATTCAGTGCCCTTACGCGGTAGCATTGATCCGAGAAGCCATTTCAAACCCCGAGGACACGACCGCGCTTGCAATTGCCATGTCATATTTGGAGGGACTGGTACAGATCGACGTGTCGCAGCACGTAGCTGAGCTCATCGAAACAACCGTGTCTGTGGTACCAATTCCACCGTCACCGGACGTCGCCGACCTGATGCCCGACACCGTCGAGTTCAATTCGGTACAAGACTTTATACTGTGCACCAGAAGCTGGATGTTACAGTCGCTCCTCTGCGGTCTTGCGGATACGCTTTATCGATACTTTCCAGCTGAGGCGGCGTTATCGCTACTCCCGTCGCCTCAGCAATTACGAATCATTGACGTGGATAGCGCACTCTGTCTCCAGAAGTCGCACAGATGGGCAGATTCAGTTTCCAAACACATTCCGCTTTTGACGATGCGCTTACACACTCCACTCCAGATGGCCATTGCTCCATGGCACCGCATGACCCGAGATCTTACTACTCAACGCTCACCATCCGCCTCGCCAGGCACCCCCTCGGACGTGGCGACGGAGGTCACACGCGCCAAGCGAATGCAAGCCTGGATAGTCAACGAAACCAACAAGATACACAAGAACTGGAACGTCGCCACTGTCGACGAAGAAATCCTCATAGAAGCTCTAGAAGCCCTATCCGGAGAGAAGATGCCAGATTGGCTACCAACACGCGTGCGATTCGTCCCCGAAGAAGGCGAAATGGCTCTACACATGGAATTCGAGAACAGAACAGGGACCTACTCCACCGGGAGAATCGATGTAAGCAAGGAGCCTCCGCGCAAATTGGCGATGCCGCCGCATCCTGGGGAAAAGGGACAAGAATGGCAGAGGAAGAATGTACATGTGGTCGAGCTACCGCTCAGAGGAGGGCGGAATGAAAGACCTGTAGATTTCTTACATAGTACAGGAAGGAACCTGTGTACGACTTCAGGATGGTGGCCTCAGTCACACGAAACATCACATGATAGCTAGGAGGTAGCCAAGTACAGTACAAACTTCATTCTCATCACCACTGGGTATCGTGACAGCTACATCGCTCTCCTTCTTCACTCCTCACAGACCTCCTCTCCTTATGTCTTCTGCAACCTCCTCCTCACCCCCTCGTCCTACCGTCCCCAAATCTGTCGTATACCACAACCGGCATCCTAATATCCCTTGTGTCCATCACCGGTATCCCCGTGGTACTCCTGCCACATGCCCGTGAGCTGCTGGGCGCCGCACTTTGCGCACTTGAACTGGTGCTGGAACTGCGGGTACGGGCTCCGCGGGACGTTGTGCACGATGTTCGCGGCGCAGCAAGAGGGGTTGCAGCAGAAGTAGGTGTATGAGGAGGTTGGGGCTGGTGTGGTCATTGTTGTGGTTGTTGTGGAGGTGGTTGAAGGTGGTTTGTTGGGGTGGTGTGATGTGGCTTTGGGAGTTTGTGGTAATGTGGTGGAATTGTGGTAGTGGGTAGTTGTTGGAAAGGGAATAGAGGATTAGGCTTGGAAATAGGCGGTTTATATAGAGGGAGGGTCAGAGGCACAGCGAAGAGGTAGTGTTGGTGAATGGTGAATTGACTGAGACACGCGGTGGGTGTTGTTGAGGCTGTTGCGTCGAGGACGGCGTCACCGCTGATGAGCGTGTCTATTGGCATTGTTATCTATCATTCACCTCCTATTCCTTCTTCTTCAGTTCCTGCTTCACCTCCCTAAGCACCTCACACCCCTTCGTGTCCTTACTTCCACCGCGGCACGCAGGACAAGTCCTTCCATGCTGAATAAGAAAGAAGTGTAACTTAAACTTCAGCTCCGGCGGAATGACCGCATCCAAATGCAACTGCGTGTTCTCCCTACTCGCCTCCTTCGGCCTCCATCCCCATAAGCCAGCAATGCGATACACATGCGTGTCAACCGTGAACCTGTTCCTCTTCAAGCACCAGCCCATTACTACGAACGCAGACTTTGGGCCCACGTACTTGTAGCTCATGAGCTCTTTCATAGCGTCTTCGTCACTTGCTTCCAGGAGGTGATCGAGATTCCAGCGTCCGTAGCGGCGCTTCACTTCCTCGAGGATGGACATGATGATCTTGGTCTTTCTGACGTGCAAGCCGCCGCAGCGGATCGTCTCTTGTAGCTTTTCCGAACCCCCATTATATATCTCTTCATAAGCGAAAACCGAGCCGTAGGTGTCTTTCATGCTGTCCATTGCGCGTTTCGCATTGTTCCAGCTCGTGGCTTGGCTGAGCACGGCGACGATGAGGGCGTCGAGGACGAATGGGATTGTCTCGGGTGTGTTGGTGTCTTCGAATTCGGCTTCTACGGCGGTGTTGTGCAGTTTGTGAAGGATGTCGTAGGCTACTTGGCACTCGCGGTTTGTGGGGTGGCCGAAGTCAGGGTATGGCGTGGATGTCGCGTGGGCGGACCATGCCTTCCATTTCTTGTCGGCGCCGGCGTTGTCGTCCATCTTGGAATCATCGACCTTGACATCGTTGGACTGAGTGATGGTCTGCTTGCTGTTTCCATCACTGCTCTGCGCGATTCTGTCTCTTTTCGCGGAACGATTTGCCGCTCGGCTGTCGACGCGCTTGCTGAGCGTCTCTTCACCACTCGACGAACCAGAGTGTCTTCTCTTCATCGCACTACTCGCGGTCTGTTGCGCAGTGCCTGTCGCCGCTCTCGTCGATCTTCTTAGAGCCATGCTGTAAATTAACATCTAAGGAATAATGCAGGTAGCAAGTGTGTCAGACAATATCATAGACGCGCTTTTCCTTGGAGCAAGTTCGGCGGACGCGTGCGAGGTATATACTAATCAGCACGCTGACGTCTATCAGTCGCGGCCCTGGGCCCTTGCATAAGGGCGCGCTAATCGTCTCCATGATCGCGTCGGATCCCGCGGACGCTGAGATCTAGATCCGCGAGATGCAGGGAGGCGCGGTAGCGCATCGAAGATTCGGCGATGAACCCATCTCGGCGATAGACCCAGCATTCGGAGATAGACCCACACGCTAGTCCTGTCTTGTCAAACATTACTGTCTGAGGAGCGATCGCTTTGGTAGAAGGGCATACGTTATGCTTAATTCTGTGCTATCGACTGTACAACATACCGTCTCTAACATTATCTTGAGTTACCTACGTCTACACAACGAAATCTTTATACCTTCTCACGAAATCATGCAAGTCCTGCGTCGAGTCACAAGGTGCAGGTTGCATGTAACGACAGCTCCTACCTCCCAACTTCGAGACCCTCAGAATGGTCTTGGTAAGCCACCAGTACTCCGCGGCGTGCTTCTCGAACCCCAGCTCAGGCAAGCAATTTCCTTTGCTATCTCGGCTTACTACATCCCAGAGCGCCTTCCATCGGTCGGTGGCGCGAAGCATCGGCTCTATGTTCATACCAGCGAGGAAGTTCATTCTGGATGTCATGACGATGGACAGCAGTGCTATGAGAGTCAGCGTGGTCATAATAGGATGGGTGATGTGAGAACGAACCGCAGATGAGTATCAGCATATGTGGTGGTGAGACGGCTTCCCCGGGCTCATCGGCGCACTTTACGACAGGGGAAAAAAGAACGCGTGACATGAGTTCGGGTAATGTCTCGACTCGTGATCGCGGAAGCTGATGCGATAAGAGACGCGCGAAGTCGGCGGCCGACTCAGCTCTGAACAAACTCTCCTCGCAGGGGAGATCACCTATCGCCTCACAGATGGCAACTTGTGGGGTGTTGTTGAAGAACACGGAGAGCGTGCTGTCGAAGAGGCAGGTCCACATGCCCAATCTGCGAGTGTTGTTAGTGGCTTCATGTACATAGTGTGGACGGGGTCGTGGTACCTCGATCGCATCTCATCGTTGATGAAGCCCTGCCAGTCATGTTCGGTTTGACTAGAGATAATGTGACGCTGTTTGTGCGCAAACAAGCCTGAAGCTCGCACAGCAGCGACAAGCGATGGAATGCGCTGGAGGCGGATTCGCCGTCTTGTGACCATGTCGTTACTGTTGTTTAGAAACACCAAGAACAAAAGACCTGCTTGCAACAGCTGGAGATGCTCATCTTCGACCCACGCCGAATTATCAGCTTGCGACATCTGCCGTAACGGTAGTTGATCGAAAACGTATGCCTCCGCAACGTGTGAGAACCGTCGTACACCGATGGATGTATCAGACTCTAGAGTGGGAAGCGACCCGAACAAAACGAGCGCGAGTAACAGCGGGAAAGACACCGTCTGTATATCGAACGTCGGCTTATGCAGAATAGGAAACGAGTAGTGAAAGTAGCGGAAGAAAGCCCAAACAAAGTGCCGCACATTGCCGACTGTAAAGACGGCTTCGGCCAATTGATAGTCGAATGTTGCATCAACTGCATCACCACGTTCCAGCATCGAGCTGTGCTTGGCAGACAGCTGCTGTAGCATCTCCCTCACGCGTACTTCGAAAGCGTACGCATCTTCCAGTTCAGGTGTCAGACCATCGCTTATGATCGGAGACGCGTAGTCGACTTCTCGTCCAGATACCACGAACGGAAAGCTGAAGAAGACAGAAGGTAAATCTGCGAACTCAAAGAACGACTGGTCGTGCGTCATATCTTGATCTGCATCGTGTGGTTGTACGTGCGCCTCGCCATCTGCATCATCGAGCTCAGCAGCCTCAGCGGCGATAGCAGCGGACGGGCGGTAACCCGAAGGATTCGTGAAATTAAGGAGGAAGTCGATGGAGATGCCCACGCGCTGCCGGTCGGTACTGGTCTCAGTACCATCTTGGCTGCTTCCGCCAGATGCAGTAGCACCTGCAGAAACGCCGTCCAACCGCTTATACGTACACATTGCGCCACCGTCGCGACAACGCACACATGGCATTTTGGTATCGCACGAAAGCTTGCGCTGCGAACATCTGTCGCAGGAGTTTCGCTTCCTGCCGCGCCTCAAGGTGGGTAGACTTACGTCATCACCGTGAACGGAAGAGCAGTTCGACAAGTGGCGTCGAGCGAGGTCTCTGTATTTTACGTCAGCTATCGTCAAACACATACATCTAGAGTTGAACCCACCGTCGCGTAAACTGCGCATGGCATGACGGACATGTCAAGTCTTGCCTGCCAAAATCTATGTATTGTGAGCTGCGAATCATTCATCGTGCAGGATGATGCTCACGTGACGCTTCATGGCGGCGAAGATGGCTGTTGGTGGAATAGACTTTCTCGCATACCGCGCATTGATGCTTTGTGCGGATTGCGGGAGGCATGTAGGTGGCGTATGCATCTCGCACATGAACCCACGGGAAGGAGTGGGTTTTATCCCGGGTGGTGGTAGTGGATCTAATCTGCTAGCGTCCGCCCGATCCCGCTCCAGTAGATCGACGTCATCTGGGCTTCGTGCAAGGACAGACTTTCAAACAACGTATCATTAGGATCTTACCGGTATCCGCGGTCTCCGACAAATTGTCAAAATCTGCATTACCAGACAAGGCTACTTGGCCAACGCAGCTCAGTATCCAGGTATCCCACATCATCAATAAAAGCCCTTCCTAGCCGTCCCCTTCTTCGTCCTATTCTCCCCCCAAATGCAACAAACACTCAAGCTCTCACACCACCCCTGCACCATCGTGCTTTCTAGTTCCTTTTCCACAGCAAACACCTCCGATCCGTCGCCCTCCCTGCTTGGCCCCACGCCCAGATGTAGCGCCTCCTTGTCCTGCTTCTTCAAATCCGTATTCCAGGCCTTGATTTGCTTCTGCGTAGCTTTCTTGTACACGCGTATGGGTGTGTGGGCGTTGAGGTATGCGGTAAAGTCTTCGATGACGATGGGGTCGTACATGAGGATCTTTTCGTGCCAGGTAGGCTTGCTGGGGTCGGTGGTTGGAGGCAAAGACCGGATGTGGCTTGTTATCTGAGCAAAGACCTGGGCTTTGATGTTCGGCCATTCGAGAAGCGGGGTGGGTATGCGGTGGATAGGTACTAGACTTGGATCGGCCGCTGAGGCTTTCGCTTTCGTCGTTTTGCCGGGTGAGGTTGTGGGAGAGAGTGTGATTAGAGACAGAGGTTGCGAGTTGACGTGTTTAGTTGTTCGGGGCGGCGTGGGGGAGAGAAGCTGCAGGGCTTCGTCTTCCGAGTCGAGGATCTCGTCTATGTCGATGAAGCGACCTGAGCCTGTGGGAGGGGTCGATGGCATGTTAGTTCTGGTCTTTGACTTCGCGCGGGGCTTAAGGATTGGCGTCGATGACGCGGAGACTGATGTAGGTATTGCAGAATGCGATTTCGTCGGCCTTCCGCGCTTCTTGGGAGAGCCGTCCATGGACGTTGGTGCTGAGGCGGGAGGTTCGAAGATCGAGACTGGCGATTTCCGCATCTGCGCAGAGGGCGGAAAGTCAAAGTCGTCGATGTCAACAAAGCTGTCTGGTGAGACAGGTTTCTGACCGGAAGGTGGAGGCTCTTGCATGAAGTCGTCAATGTCTCTGAAGCCCGCATCTATCATCCTATCATCATCGTTGCGAAACTTTGTCATTGGGGTGGCACGTGAAGTGCTGGGAGGTGGCATTGGCGGATCAGAAGATATGGCAATTGGTGGCGGTGGATCCGGTGGTATATCGTCAATATCTATGAAGTCAGACTGGCCATCGTCCTGCTCATCAGGCGCATCAGTAGTGCCATCCATGAGCAATGGGATGTCTTGCGTTCGGTCGGGCTCGGGTATGTAAACGTCCTTCAAGTGCTCCAGCATGCCGCCCTCGTCGTCGCGGGAACTCGCAGCCCAAAGTCCGCGCTTGCCTTCCACCCTGCCGAGCCGTGACCTTCGCGGCGGCGCGCCATACGCAACATTGTCGGCGTCCTGCTCAGACTCCTTCAGCGCATACTGTAGTTGACGCACCATTGTCGGCGACTCTTCAAGCACAAGCTGACTTGATGTTCCGAACAAGACATCCTGCTGCTGCAAACGCGACATTGCCGACGAAGGGCTGAGAAGCTTCTCCGCGACAGGCTTGGGCTTTGCGGCTGCTTTCGAAGATGCTTTCTTTGACCTCGGCTTGGGATCTGCTTTCTCTGTGCCTGATTTTGAGCTGTTACGCCTGCGCACTGGCTTCTTCGGGGCTGCATCGCTGTCCGCCGCCGATGCATCGTTCAGCGGCACCTTTGTTGTAGTTGTCGAAGCTCGAGACTCGAAGAAGTTGCTAGTCGCATCGTCTGGAACTGGTTGTGCATCCTTTAAGGCATACTGCTCTGTAACGAGGTCGGTGATGGTGCGCGGTTTCTTCTTCGGTGCTTTCCCTTTCTCGGGAGACGAGTCTCTGGAGTTGGTGTTATTGCTGGGTATCTCGACAAGCTCGATTCTCCGCCGCTTTGTCGCCGCCACAGCCCCTGCTGCGTTGTTCGATTTCGCAGCGATCTGCGCAGATGGCGATTGGGCGTAGGCGAAGTTGGAGAGGAGGTTCGTGAAGGAGCCATCAGCGTTCTGCGATAAGGTCTTGTTCTCCTTTCCGGTCGAGTCGGTAAACGGCGATGCGATTGTGGTATCGGGTGGCGGCGTCCAGTCTCTCCTCCTTACAACAGCCTCCTCCAACTCCAATCCCTCTGCGATGGGATCTGGCTGTCGCTGCTTGGGTGCAGCCTTCTTCTTCGGCTTTGGGCTGTCTGGCACTTCCCAGATCGATTGAGGCTTGGCTTGAGTGTCGTGGTCCTCTACAGAAGGCCGTGTTGCCGACTCCTGGCCTCCGTCTGCTCCACCTCCGAAATGCGCAGACACAAGCGAAGCATCTCCCTGCTTGCCCTTCCCCGCCCCTGCTTTCGCCTTTGTGACCCTCGGTTTCTTTGGCTTTGGCGCAGGTTCTGTCCCATCTTCCGCAGTCTTGACCTTCTTCGCGCGAGGCTTACGGGGCTTGCCAGACTTGGTCAGCTTCGGCGCATCCGCAGCTGGTGCCGCAGGGTCGACCGGAGGTTCTGTCGCATCATCGTCGAAAAAAGGAGACTTTGTAGGCGGTTGCGGCGGGCGTCGGAGTTCGTCGTCAGAGTCAAGGATCTCTTTGTCCGACTTGGGTTTCGCTTTGCGCGCTCGAGGCTTCGGTTTGGGCTTCTCGGAGCCGTGTGCAGCGGTAGTAGTAGCTGTAGCCTTCTTCGTAGTCCGTTTCTTGGGTTTCTCCGCAGCCAAAGCAGGCTCTATGGTATCCTGTGAAGTCCGCCGTGGTTGCGCTTGCTGTATTGCATCGAAGTCGTCGTCGAGGCGGCTTGTGAAGTGCTCGGAGCGTATGAGGCTGCCCACGGTGGCGAATCCTCTGACAGCCCCCTCGGGGATGGGAGCAGCTCGTGCATTGCTCTTGGACGCGCCGGCCGTCGGTCTGAGAGGGCTCGCAGGAGGGGAGAATGCGAGAGGGGAGGATGCAAGCATGGCGACGCGACGGGAGGGGGCATCATGTAGCGGGGAAGCGGCCGGCGGACTCGAGGATAGCACCACGACGTCGTACATGGTATTGCCTGCCATTCTGAGGCGAGGAAGGGGCCTCGAGGCAGCCAGTACGGGCGGACGGGGAGGGGCAATCCATAGACTCGGGCTGAGGAGTTGGGGAGGGTGTGGTGTAGAGTGTTGGTGAAGCCGAACAATGCACGGTCTTTGGGTCAACTGAAGTTCATTGCTGCAACACCAAACTCTCCATCACCAAATTCCCAGCCATGCCCCTCCACCACCGCAGCCCCCACATCAACCCCCTGCGATCGAGCTGCATCTCGTTGGGAAGCTCTACAAGTACTCGCAGAACATCATCATCGACTTGAATGACTGCCCCCGGCCGCATACAGCGCGGAAACCGCCTCCGCGGAAGTCTTCCAAAACCCATCGTAGCCTCCTGCCCTCCCCTCACCCCCGACAGCAACATGGAGCAGCCTCAAAGCTTCAGGATACCTCCTTCATCCCGCTCAGTAAGCCTGCGCGCTTGTCGCAGCTTCTGGCGTTGCGAGTGAGGTTCAGGACAGCCGGGAGCCGTCGCTGCGAACCTCACCCGCCGAACGAAGGTCTTTGGCATCCTTCTGCGAGCCTCACACAGCGAGAGGAGCTTCAGAAAGACCGCAGTAAGTGCCTCTCGTCTTTGCCGTCGGCGTCCTTGACCTTCGCTGCCCCTCCCTGAACCTGCCTCCTCCGCAGCTACCCCGCCTCGAAGCCACACACATCACCCAGCAAGGGCAAGAGAACGTGCAGGGACATTGCTGATGCTTTGGCTTACAGACAACAAGCTGCTGCTGTAGCCTCGCATCGGCAGCGACATCCTCTTTGGGTTGACTTCAAAGCTGCCTCCGACACACCTCCGCCCTCACCTCCGCCGACAACCCTCAGCGACAAGCATTGCTGAAGCACTGCGCAAGAGACGAAGCACAAGCCCCCATGGCTGGCCCAAGGCTGGCAACTACCATAACGATAGTCCATCTCGCTGTCGATTTTCTGGCGGCATGATGCTGAGCCATTCTCACCTGGGAGGCAGTAGCTTGGCCATGTCGACACCCTCGCGGAGTGCCTGGTGAGAGCCGTCAAGCTTGACATTCGAAGCCGACCATCGATGCCTCACCTAGTACCTTCGAATCGGTACTCATGGCGGCCACCCTTGACGCTCTCGTGACCCTCGCATGCCGAAGACGAAAAGACTCGACGCTGTCACTCACTCGAAAGTAAGGCGACTCGGATCGGAGGAAGGGTCTCGGCTTACAACATACTGTGCGGGGCGCTTGGGCAAGCGCGAGGAAACCATGGAGGGGATACATACCAGCAAGAGACGGAGACTATGGGCATGCCATCGGAGCACCCAAAGGTTCATTGCTCATCGGCGCAGGCGTGGGTCAAGCCCGAAGCGC